AGGGGGAGAGGAGGTTGGAGACCACACCATCCCTAGGAAAACAAGGGGGAGAGGAGGTTGGAGACCACACCATCCCTAGGAAAACAAGGGGGAGAGGAGGTTGGAGACCACACCATCCCTAGGAAAACAAGGGGGAGAGGAGGTTGGAGACCATCCCTAGGAAAACAAGGGGGAGAGGAGGTTGGAGACCACACCATCCCTAGGAAAACAAGGGGGAGAGGAGGTTGGAGTCAACGAAGGTCTGTGGCTGGGGGGCGAAACTGTAAGACAGGTAGAATCTAGACAACAGCACCACTTCCTCCTATTCAATTCTCAAGGTCCATTATAACTAAGTGAACCCAGTCAAAGGAGCATCACTTTGGTTTGCTTAAGTTTTATTTTGTTCCTCTACTGAGTAAATAACGTTGCATTGTAGTCCAGTGTCAGTCAATGCCATTTAAGATGAGGGAGGACGATTTTTATTTATTTATGAGCATGGCCTAATTTCTATTACAGCATATTGGATGACTGTCACTCATATTCCATTCACCCAGTTCAATGTAACATCTATAGGTTAAGGCTACTACATGATACTCACATTTTCCCTATACCCAGCATGAGGTTGCTACAACCGAGCCTATAAATGTAAGTTTGCAATGTTGGTGCACACTGGTCGAGAGAAAAATGTGAGGTGACAGACAGTGACACATTGACAGACAGTGACACATTCTATACCGCCTTGCACACTCTTCAAATAAAATAAAATTGTATTTGTCACATACACGTGTTTAGCAGACGTTGTTGCGGGTGAAGCAAAATACTTGTGCTTCTAGCTCCGACAGTGCAGTAAAATCTAACAAGTAATATCTAACAATTTCACAACATATACCCAATACACACAAATCTAAGTAGTTTTTCCCGGCTGTATGTAATGATATAAAACACTTTCTGAGCTAATCATGTAAAACATAATACATAAAAAAAAAAATTTGAGCAAAATAGTGCGGAATGAATACACCCCTGATCACACGTAAACACAGTTCACTTTCATAGCAGCCACGTTGTATTCCTTCTTGTGTCTATGCGATCTCCTCCTCTCACCTTTTCCTTTGCTTGTGGACACCAGCTGTATGTGACCAGAGGAAAAAACCTTTCCAAGCCAAACCATATCATAACCGCTACACACGGCCTACATCGTTGTCACCATATTAGCTAAAGTAATGTCATAGCTAATTATTAAAACCAAAAGCTTACCTTGACTTGGAAGAGTTCCAGTGTTGTGTTGGATAGTCATAGCCAGCTAGCTAACATAGCATCCCTCTGTTTGAGCCGGGTGTTTGAGTAGTCTAAACTAGCTAGCTGCATTTGCTAGCTATGAAAGTGAAAGTGAAAAAAAATGACGAAATATCTCTCTCTCTCTCTCCTTCATTTTTGAAGAAATTAATTTGTTCAAAACTGTTCAACTATTGTATTTTTCTCTCTTTGAGTCAACTACTCACCACATTTCATGCACTGCAGTGCTAGCTAGCTGTAGCTTATGCTTTCAGTACTAGATTAATTATCTGATCCTTTGATTGGGTGGACAACATGTCAGTTCATGCTGCAAGAACTCTGATAGGTTAGAGGACATCCTCCGGAAGTTGTGATAATTACTGTGTAAGTCTATGGAAGGGGGTGAGAACCATGAGCCTCCTAGGTTTTGTATTGAAGTCAATGTACCCAGAGGAGGACGGAAGCTAGCTGTCCTCCGGCTACACCATGGTGCTACCCTGCAGAGTGCTGTTGAGGCTACTTTAGCCCTTCATTGCAAAACAGTGTATTTTAATCAATTATTTGGTGACGTGAATATATTTAGTATTGTTTTATCTAAAAAGGAAAACGTTTTAAATGTTTCACTATTTTTATTTTTATGAAATTGACTGAAGACGGTCCTCCCCTTCCTCCTCTGAGGAGCCTCCACTGTTTTAGTCATATCTGTAGTCGGTCTGAGCAGGCAGTGTTGGGTCAACGTTTGGTTCTGCAGTTGGTCAGTATGTGTGGAAGTATATCCAGACTTGCTCTGCTTCTGGTGCTGTGGGGTCTATTCACAGCTGTTGAAGGTAAGAGAGATATTGCATGATCTATTTAATTTGTACCCTAACCCTAAGTACAGGGTAACAATGAGTAATGACAGTACTTGTTACACTGTACTTACAGGAGTTAGACCTACACAGTAATAAGAACACTGTATTGTAAAGTGTAACCAAATTGTTCGCTACAGTTTTAATAGTCAATAAGAATAAACTGTCCTTTTCACTTCACTACCAGTAGCTACTAATGCTCAATCAAACATATCTCATGAAACAATAGACTCACAATCTGTTTTCTTCCTGTTTACAGAGACTCAAGAGAAAACATTGGGAACAGGAGGAGCAGATGCCACTCTTCTCTTCCCAAACCAAACACTTACAGTGCATTCGGAAAGTATTCAGACCCATTGACTTTTTTCACATTTTGTTACATTACAGCCTTATTCTAAAATTGATTAAATATTTCCCCCCCCTCATCAATCTACACACAATACCCCATAAGACAAAACAAAAACAGGTTTTTAGAAATGTTTGCAAATGTATTTTTACTTCAGCCACACCAGAGTTGCTACACTTACCAATGAGTTCCAAACTGCCTCTGGAAGCAACTTCAGCACAAGAACTGTTCGTCGGGAGCTTCATGAAATGGGTTTCCATGGCCGAGCAGCCGTACACAAGCCTAAGATCACCATGTGCAATGCCAAGCGTTGGCTGTAGTGGTGTAAAGCTTGCCGCCATTGGACTCTGGAGCAGTGGAAACACGTTTTCTGGAGTGATGAATCACGCTTCACCATCTGGCAGTCTGACGGACGAATCTGGGTTTGGCGGATGCAAGGAGAACGCTAACTGTGCCAACTGTGAAGTTTGGTGGAGGAGGAATAATGGTCTGGGGTTGTTTTTCATGGTTCGGGCTCCTTAGTTCCAGTGAAGGGAAATCTTAACGCTACAGCATACAATTACATTCTAGACGATTCTGTGCTTCCAACTTTGTGGCAACAGTTTGGGGAAGGCCCTTTCCTGTTTCAGCATGACAATTCTCCCGTGCACAAAGTGAGGTCCATACAGAAATGGTTTGTCGAGATCGGTGTGGAAGAACTTGACTGGCCTGCACTGAGCCCTGACTTCAACCCCATCGAACACCTTTGGGATGAATTGGAACGCCGACTGCGAGCCAGGCCTAATCGCCCAAAATCAATGTCCATTAATGCTCTTGTAGCTGAATGGAAGAAAATCCCAGCAGCAATGTTCCAACATCTAGTGGAAAGCCTTCCCAGAAGGGTGGAGGCTGTTATAGCAGCAAAGGCGGGATCAACTCCATATTAATGTCACACCCTGATCTGTTTCACCTGTCTTTGTGATTGTCTCCACCCCCCTCCAGGTGTCGCCCATCTTCCCCATTATCCCCAGTGTATTTATACCTGTGTTCTCTGTTTGTCTGTTGCCAGTTCGTTTTGTGTCGTCAAGCCTACCAGCGGTTTTCTCCTTGCGCAAGTTCCTGTTTTCAAGTTTTCCCGGTTTTGACCATTCTGCCTGCCCTGAACCTGAGATTGCCTGCCGTTCTGTACCTTTTGGACTCTGATCTGGATTACTGACACCTGCCTGCCCCTGACCTGTCGTTTGCCTGCGCCTTGTTTTTGTTATAAACTTTTTGTTACTTCAATACTGTCTGCATCTGGGTCTTCTCCTGAAACAATATAATTAATGCCCATGGTATTGGAATGAGATGTTCGACGAGCAGGTGCCCACATACTTTTGGTCATGTATTGTAAGTGTTTGGAGTTGTTCCAGGTTATCAATAGGCTATATAACCCTCAAACTCAACTCTGGACCTCGAAGCCAGTTCCACTGCATTTTTTCATTGTTCCCCTCTAATCAGGGACTGATTTAGACCTGGGACACCAGGTGCGTGCAATTAATTATCAGGTAGAACAGAAAACCGACAGGCTCCGGACCTCGTAGGGTAAGAGTTGAATACCCCTGCTATATAATTTCCCCCCAAAATATATAAACATTGATTATTATAAATGTAGGGCCTATAGGTTTGTCTCATCTTTCAAAAAGAATGCAATATAGACAACGTTATTATGAACGTTTAACAGGTTTTTATTTTAACTGGGCCCTATAACAAATACATACTGCTTTAACAACTACTTACCCGTTGAGCAGTGGATGGAGTTAGTGAGAATCACTCAATTCTGTTCTCTGTATTGTGCAAAACATAATCTGCTACACTGACTATCAAATCCGTGTTTTTAAAAAGTATTTAAACTGAACAGACCGGGTGTGATATGTTCCGCCTCTTCATGAGTGACGTCAGATGCATGAGCGCTGCAAAACTACTGTATCAAACCCGTTTCTCTACGACCCCTCTCCCTAAAATTATATTTAGGCGACCCCTAGTGGCAATTGTTTGTAACTTTTGTTGGTCTCTTGAGCAGCTGAAGAATCAAAGACGATTCACTTTTAAAGCATTACCAGCAGAAAATGTATGACACGTTAAATAAAAACGTACATTACAACATTGTTTGAACATTTTATTTATAAAAACACACACACAACCAAGTACATTACAACATTGTGTATCTTACAGCATTTTATTTATAAAAAGTGAAGAAAGAAAACACACACACCATGAAAGTAGTCTACATGATGACATTGTGTAGGTTATAATATTATAACACACACCATGAAAGTAGTCTACATGATGACATTGTGTAGGTTATAATATTATAACACACACCATGAAAGTAGTCTACATGATGACATTGTGTAGATTATAATATTATAACACACACCATGAAAGTAGTCTACATGATGACATTGTGTAGGTTATAATATTATAACACACACCATGAAAGTAGTCTACATGATGACATTGTGTAGGTTATAATATTATAACACACACCATGAAAGTAGTCTACATGATGACATTGTGTAGGTTATATTACAACATTTGATTCATATTAAAGGGAAGAACAAAACAACACACACAAGTCTAGTGTGGATTTATCATGTTTCATCATTAACCAACTGCTAAATATATTTACATACATACATACATACTGTATTTACACATACAATAACCAGCAGGCCTATCTACAGTGGGGAAAAAAAGTATTTAGTCAGCCACCAATTGTGCAAGTTCTCCCACTTAAAAAGATGAGAGAGGCCTGTAATTTTCATCATAGGTACACGTCAACTATGACAGACAAATTGAGATTATTTTTTTGTTGCAAATTATGGTGGAAAATAAGTATTTGGTCACCTACAAACAAGCAAGATTTCTGGCTCTTACAGACCTGTAACTTCTTCTTTAAGAGGCTCCTCTGTCCTCCACTCGTTACCTGTATTAATGGCACCTGTTTGAACTTGTTATCAGTATAAAAGACACCTGTCCACAACCTCAAACAGTCACACTCCAAACTCCACTATGGCCAAGACCAAAGAGCTGTCAAAGGACACCAGAAACAAAATTGTGGACCTGCACCAAGCTGGGAAGACTGAATCTGCAATAGGTAAGCAGCTTGGTTTGAAGAAATCAACTGTGGGAGCAATTATTAGGAAATGGAAGACATACAAGACCACTGATAATCTCCCTCGATCTGGGGCTCCACGCAAGATCTCACCCCGTGGGGTCAAAATGATCACAAGAACGGTGAGCAAAAATCCCAGAACCACACGGGGGGACCTAGTGAATGACCTGCAGAGAGCTGGGACCAAAGTAACAAAGCCTACCATCAGTAACACACTACGCCGCCAGGGACTTAAATCCTGCAGTGCCAGACGTGTCCCCCTGCTTAAGCCAGTACATGTCCAGGCCCATCTGACGTTTGCTAGAGTGCATTTGGATGATCCAGAAGAGGATTGGGAGAATGTCATATGGTCAGATGAAACCAAAATAGAACTTTTTGGTAAAAACTCAACTCGTCGTGTTTGGAGGACAAATAATGCTGAGTTGCATCCAAAGAACACCATACCTACTGTGAAGCATGGGGTTGGAATCATCATGCTTTGGGGCTGTTTTTCTGCAAAGGGACCAGGACGACTGATCCGTGTAAAGGAAAGAATGAATGGGGCCATGTATCGTGAGATTTTGAGTGAAAACCTCCTTCCATCAGCAAGGGCATTGAAGATGAAACATGGCTGGGTCTTTCAGCATGACAATGATCCCAAACACACCGCCCGGGCAACGAAGGAGTGGCTTCGTAAGAAGCATTTCAAGGTCCTGGAGTGGCCTAGCCAGTCTCCAGATCTCAACCCCATAGAAAATCTTTGGAGGGAGTTGAAAGTCTGTGTTGCCCAGCGACAGCCCCAAAACATCACTGCTCTAGAGGAGATCTGCATGGAGGAATGGGCCAAAATACCAGCAACAGTGTGTGAAAACCTTGTGAAGACTTACAGAAAACGTTTGACCTGTGTCATTGCCAACAAAGGGTATATAACAAAGTATTGAGAAACTTTTGTTATTGACCAAATACGTATTTTCCACCATAATTTGCAAATAAATTCATTAAAAATCCTACAATGTGATTTTCTGGATTTTCTTTTCTCATTTTGTCTGTCATAGTTGACGTGTACCTATGATGAAAATTACAGGCCTCTCATCTTTTTAAGTGGGAGAACTTGCACAATTGGTGGCTGACTAAATACTTTTTTTCCCCCACTGTACATATTCTCCAGGGATTACATTTGATGCTGAAAAACAATTCAGTGTGTTCTACTCTATTCCTTACCTACAGTAAGTACAAACACTGTTTACTTGATCATAAACCCTACTGTTAATTAGAATATGTGTCTTACTGTTAGATTAGACCTCTAGATTTCAGGGTCATCATGTTGAGGGTTGACTGTTGATAGTTCTTCCTGTTCTCTGTCATGGGCTGTGGGATTTGGGATAAAGATTGTTTTTGTAAGTTTGACAATCAATGTCAAATTAATACTGTATTTTCTCTTTGTCATCTGGACAGTAAAACTTACCTTCATTTTATTTCTCAGTTTGCACCACCACAATGCCACAGCTCCACAGCACGCAACAATGAAATACAGTGAACCCATCACTGCACCAATTACTGTTCGCTTACCTGTGAAAGATGACAAGATGAGAATGGTACAATTCACAGATAAGAGTGTCAGAGATTAGTTGTGGTCATTAGATTAATGATCTACCACTGATCCTGTCACCATCAGTGACCTCAGGTAGACCTAGCACAGAAAAAGTACTTCAGAATGACACCAGCATGTTGACTGTTACTGTAGGCATGTACAGAACCATTTCTCACCAGCAAATGGAGCTTGAGTTCTAGCTGGAATAACCATGGATATGTTCTTGGTGACACCTCCAGAGAACAGTGAAACCATACAGCCAACCCTGGTGTCTTTGTCAGGTAGAATGAATGCTGCCAGCATGGAAGTTATGGTGACACTGACAGTTCCATTGAGATGGGTGACATTGGCCATTGTGGAATGTTCTAGAATTTCTGTGTCTTCCCAGGTCACTATAGGAGCAGGTCGTCCAGTAGCAGAACAGGACAGAGTGATGTGACTGTTGTTGGTTTGTGTGATGAGGAGTGAGGGTCCATACAGCTCTATAGGACAACAACAGACACAGATCACAGTGAATGTAAATACTATAATGTTTTCATGTACATGATTTACTAAATGATTCCATTTACATGATTTACTAAATGATTCCATTTTGATAAATTGTTGCAAGACATTGGATGTATGATCTGATAAAATGGCTGCCTGAAGTTCTGAAGAAGTTGTTCTGGGTCAGTCATTTACAGTACATTATGTTATCAGTTTTTACCATTGACTTGGAGGCAGGTCGTTCCGCTGATAGGTCCATCTGGAAAGGTGTTAAACAGACACTTGTAGCAGGACTCGTCTCCTCTTGACACTCCTCTGATGATGATAGAGCAGTTCTGCAGTCCCTCGTCTTCAAACTCCACTTTCCCCTTAAAAGGTAGATTGACATCAGGCCCGCGTTTACTGTAGGTGGCCACATTTTCATTCGCCCCTGGTGTCACTTTTTGCCAGGTGACTTCCCACACGTCTTTGGGTGTCATGAGCTCACAGTTTAAGATTGCATCTTCTCCCAGGGTTCCTGTGACAACCTGCTGTGTTCTCACCAACTGAGAGAACCCTGCATGAAGACAGTTACACACTACTTAGTACTTACTATATTACAAACTCACACACACATACACAGTTGGTAGAGCATGGTGCGTTGTGGGTTTGATTCTCGCTGGGACCATATTCTAAAACAAATGTATGCACTCACTGTATTGTAAGTTGCTTTGGACAAAAGCGTCAGCTAAAAGCCATATCTTTAAAATATATATTGTATCGTTTTGTAGCACAGGGCTAAGACTTTTTTATTTACTATTTATGTTAATACAACGTGCAGGAGGGCCAAAATGTCAATTGTATGATTTAGAGGCAATTTGTGTTACGTTGTGTTATGTTACTTTACGTTGTGTTATGTTATGTTGCGTTATGTAAACTTGTCTTGTGTTGTGTTTTCTTATGTTATGTTATGTTGCGTTGTGTAATGTTATGCAACTGTTTGAATAAAGAAGAGTGAGACAGAAAAACATCTTTGTGTGATGTCATCATGTGTGATGTGCAGAAAGTTTCACTTTACTGAAAGCAGACAATTACCACTCTATTATTAGGCATTTCATCACTTTACCTAATGCAATGAAAGATGAAAACCAATCAAAAATGACTTTTTAGGGCAGCCACACTCAACTGGCAGGTCACAGTCCAGATCTGGACCTAGAACGGGGTCAGTATAGACAGTGGTCCAGATCCACACCTAGAACAGGGTCAATATAGACTGTGGTCCAGATCCACACCTAGAACGGGGTCAATATAGACCACCGGTCCTGAGTCTTTTTTAGACACTCAGTCAGGGTTTCAACTTAGTTAGGAAGGTGTTCCTCATATTTGGTATTGTCATTGTATATACAGGCATTTTGTGGGACTGGTAACAGGGAAAGACTGACTCTAATGCTGTTCAAATCCAGATCTTGAGGAGAAACAACCACAGGATTTTTGTACATCTTGCAAGCCAAGGATGACAAGGCTTGGGTGACTGCAGGTGAAGTTGTCCAGTCCCTGTGTCCTTTTGTGGACAACAGGGGGAGGAGGTACCATAGAGCCTGTGCTGGCAGGTTAAAGGAGAGTAACACAAAGCATGAGTTTATGAAAACAACTTTGAATTAAGTTTTTGTATGTTTATTCTGTTAGTAGGTGATTGATATTAACATGTAATATTCTAAATAAAACATTTTCCTCTAGTATTATTATGAAAGTGCAAATATTTATATAGTTGTTGAGGTATGCAGCACTCTAATTCGCAATGAAAATAGAGAATTTCAAATAAAAAATTGTAAATGCATTTTTTTAGCACATTTGTGCATTTATGGTTGGTTAAGACGTGACCCACGCGTGCACTTTGATAGCCTATGCAATAGCTATTCAAGATACTGGTGATTTCTTGGTTCTTTTAAATCCCTCATCAATCTCCACACAATACCCCATAATGACAAAGAAAAAGCAGGTTTTAGAAACGTTTGAAAATGTATTTTTTTTTAAACTGAAATATCACATTTACATAAGTATTCAGACCCCTTTACTCAGTACTATGTTGAAGCACCTTTGGCAGCGATTACAGCCTTGAGTCTTCTTGGGCATGATGCTACAAGCTTGGCACACCTGTATTTGGGGAGTTTATTTGCAGATCCTCTCAAGCTCTGTTGGTTGGATGGGGAGCGTCACTGCACAGCTATATTCAGGTCTCTCCAGAGATCAGGTTCAAGTCCGGGCTCTGGCTGGGCCACTCAAGGACATTCAGAGACTTGTCCTGAAGACACTCCTGCGTTGTCTTGGCTGTGTGCTTAGGGTCGTTGTCCTGTTGGAAGGTGAACCTTTGCCCCAGTCTGAGGTCCTGAGCATTCTGCTGCAGGTTTTAAGGATCTCTCTGTGCTTTGCTCCGTTCATCTTTCCCTCGATCCTGACTAGTCTCCCAGTCCCTACCGCTGAAAAACATCCCCACAGCATGATATTGCCACCACCATGCTTCACCGTAGGGATGGTGCCAGGTTTCCTCCAGACGTGACACTTGGCATTCAGGCCAAAGAGTTCAATTTTGATTTCATCAGACCAGAGAATCTTGTTTCTCATAGTCTGTGAGTCCTTTAGGTGCCTTTTGGCAAACTTCAAGAGGCTGTCATGTGCCTTTCCTGATGAGTGGCTTCTGTCTGGCCACTCTACCATGACGGCCAGATTGGTGGAGTGCTGCAGAGATGGTTGTCCTTCTGGACAGTTCTCCCATCTCCACAGAGGAACTCTGGAGCTCTGTCAGAGTGACCATCAGGTTATTGGTTACCTCCCTGACCAAGGCCCTTCTCCCTTGAAAATGTTTGGTGCCCTTCCCCAGATCTGTGCCTCAACACAATCCTGTCTCAGAGCTCTATGGACAATTCCTTAGACCTCATGGCTTGGTTTTTGCTCTGACATGTACTGTAAACTGTGGGACCTTAAATAGACAGGTGTGTGCCTTTCAAAATCATGTCCAATCAATTTAATTTACCACAGGTGGACTCCAATCAAGTTGTAGAAATGTCTCAAGGATGATCAATGGAAACAGGATGCACCTGAGCTCACTTTCATGTCTCATAGCAAAGGGTCTGAATACTTATGTAAATAAGGTATTTCTGTTTTTATTTTTAAGACATTTGGAAAGAAAACATATCTAAAAACCTGTTTTTGCTTTATCCTTATGGGGTATTGTGTTTAGATTGATGAGGAAAAACATTTATTTAATCAATTTTACAATAAGGCTGTAACGTAACAAAATGTGGAAAAAGTGAAGGGGTCTGAATACTTTCCAAACTCATTTTGCACAGCGTCACATCCATAATGGAGAATGTCACAACGGTACATTTTCTCTCTAAAGTATATATGACCATTTTTATATGTTCATCATTGTTGTTTTAGTGTGTAGCCAAGCCTTACTTTCAAAGTGGCTATCAGTATTTTACCATAAGACTTCTACAAATATACACATTAACATTTTCCTTTATGATAAGTCAATTCTGTGAGCCATTTGGTTTCTCATGTTGTGTGTGAATGTCACATCCATAACGCTGGAATTGCCCTGAATGGACTAAACAACTGCATGACTACATATGCAGTATTATATCAATCATTTCAATTCCCATTTTATGTTTGTACATTTCAAAGGACTCTTGGAAGACTAGCCCTTGGTGGGCTAAAAGAGATCCTAATAAAATTAATGCTGCAATATGTAACGTTTTGGGCGAGCTGTCCAAATTCACATAGAAATGTGTGTTATAGATCTGTCATTATCATTGAAAGCAAGTCTAAGAAGCGGTTGATTTTATGTGAGCTATTTCTATGCTTCCCGTTTTCGGTTTTGCGTCTTTTACTTAAGGTTTTGTACACTAGTTTCAAACAGCTGAAAATACAATATTTTTGGTTATTGAAAATAAATTTCACAGCGTTTTAGATGTTACATAGATTCCCTACACTAAACATTGCTTGTTTTGTCACATAAACTGAAATTAGGCGAACTACTTTAATTTTTGCAACCAGTAAATGGCGGAGGGATTTCTGCATATTGCACCTTTAAATTAAATTCAATCAACCTCTGAGAATTACACTGTAAAAAAAAAGAAGAAAAAATGAAGGTGGCCCAACTCAAGATCTTTTCGTAACTAGTCTGACAGCCTTTTAAGTGAAATCAACTTTTTGGAGAAGCGTTGCATAAGCCTCACATTTTAAGTTAAACTTTTCTAACTCAATCAGGCAAGTTGGCAAAACTTTGTTCCAACTTAACTAGACAAGTTGGATTAAAGTTCAATCAACTTAAAATCATGTGTTTGATAGATGTTTGTATGGAAATTATTTTGTAGGCTGTTATATTTGTATCAGGTTTGAGACAAGTATGTTAATGTTGTAGTTAGAGTCCCCCTTGACTCCTTTCCAGTTTCAGTTATTATCCAATTAATTGACTGGGCAGGGTTTTTTTTCTATCCTGACAACAAATCCACTTTTTTGCTATATCTGATGTAATGCATCATATGTCCGCTACTGAAATATATATTTAATTGTAAGCTGGTCCCTGACAAGTACAGTGGGGAATAAAAGTATTTAGTCAGCCACCAATTGTGCAAGTTCTCTGTAATTTTCATCATAGGTACACGTCAACTATGACAGACAAATTGAGAAAAAAAAAATCCAGAAAATCACATTGTAGGATTTTTAATGAATTTATTTGCAAATTATGGTGGAAAATAAGTATTTGGTCACCTACAAACAAGCAAGATTTCTGGCTCTCACAGACCTGTAACTTCTTCTTTAAGAGGCTCCTCTGTCCTCCACTCGTTACCTGTATTAATGGCACCTGTTTGAACTTGTTATCAGTATAAAAGACACCTGTCCACAACCTCAAACAGTCACACTCCAAACTCCACTATGGCCAAGACCAAAGAGCTGTCAAAGGACACCAGAAACAAAATTGTAGACCTGCACCAGGCTGGGAAGACTGAATATGCAATAGGTAAGCAGCTTTGTTTGTAGAAATCAACTGTGGGAGCAATTATTAGGAAATGGAAGACATACAAGACCACTGATAATCTCCCTCGATCTGGGGCTCCACGCAAGATCTCACCCCGTGGGGTCAAAATGATCACAAGAACGGTGAGCAAAAATCCCAGAACCACACGGGGGGACCTAGTGAATGACCTGCAGAGAGCTGGGACCAAAGTAACAAAGCCTACCATCAGTAACACATTACGCCGCCAGGGACTCAAATCCTGCAGTGGCAGACGTGTCCCCCTGCTTAAGCCAGTACATGTCCAGGCCCGTCTGAAGTTTGCTAGAGTGCATTTGGATGATCCAGAAGAGGATTGGGAGAATGTCATATGGTCAGATGAAACCAAAATATAACTTTTTGGTAAAAACTCAACTCGTCGTGTTTGGAGGACAAAGAATGCTGAGTTGCATCCAAAGAACACCATACCTACTGTGAAGCATGGGGGTGGAAACATCATGCTTTGGGGCTGTTTTTCTGCAAAGGGACCAGGACGACTGATCCGTGTAAAGGAAAGAATGGGGCCATGTATCGTGAGATTTTGAGTGAAAACCTCCTTCCATCAGCAAGGGCATTGAAGATGAAACGTGGCTGGGTCTTTCAGCATGACAATGATCCCAAACACACCGCCCGGGCAACGAAGGAGTGGCTTCGTAAGAAGCATTTCAAGGTCCTGGAGTGGCCTAGCCAGTCTCCAGATCTCAACCCCATAGAAAATCTTTGGAGGGAGTTGAAAGTCCGTGTTGCCCAGCGACAGCCCCAAAACATCACTGCTCTAGAGGAGATCTGCATGGAGGAATGGGCCAAAATACCAGCAACAGTGTGTGAAAACCTTGTGAAGACTTACAGAAAACGTTTGACCTGTGTCATTGCCAACAAAGGGTATATAACAAAGTATTGAGAAACTTTTGTTATTGACCAAATACTTATTTTCCACCATAATTTGCAAATACATTCATTAAAAATCCTACAATGTGATTTTCTGGAATTTTTTTTCTCATTTTGTCTGTCATAGTTGACGTGTACCTATGATGAAAATTACAGGCCTCTCTCATCTTTTTAAGTGGGAGAACTTGCACAATTGGTGGCTGACTAAATACTTTTTTCCCCCACTGTACATTTACTAAAATCAAGTAAAATACATCTTGCAGAGAGTCACATTGGGATGTGTATTTTGAGCCAACAGTTATTTTTTTTGGTTCCTAACTTCCCTGAAAAGTTGCATATCGCGGGGGCTATTTGATGCTAATGCAGTACGCCACAGGATGTTTTTGTGCTGGTCAAGGGCAGTCAAGTCTGAGGAGAACCAGAGGCTATATCTGTTCTTAGTTCTGTATTTTTTGAATGGGGCATGTTTATTTAAGATTGAGAGGAAATTACTTTTAAAAGAACAACCAGGCATCCTCTACTGACGGAATGAGATCTATATCCATCCAGGATACCCGGGCCAGGTCAATTAGAAAGGCCTGCTCGCTGAAGTGTTTTAGGGAGCGTTTGACAGTGATGAGGGGTGGTCGTTTGACCGCGGACCCGTTACGGACGCAGGCAATAAGGCAGTGATCGCTGAGATCCTGGTTGAAGACAGCGGAGGTGTATTTAGAGGGTAAGTTAGTCAGGATGATATCTATGAGGGTACCCATGTTTACGGATTTAGGGTTGTACCTGGTAGGTTCGTTGATAATTTGTGTGAGATTGAGGGCATCTAGTTTAGATTGTAGGATGGCCGGGGTGTTAAGCATATCCCAATTTAGGTCACCAAGCAGTACGAACTCTGAGGATAGATGGGGGGCAATCAATTCACATATGGTGTCCAGGGCACAGCTGGGGGCTGAGGGGGGGCTGTAGCAAGCGGCAACAGTGAGAGACTTATTTCTGGAAAGGTGGATTTTTAGAAGTAGAAGCTCAAACAGTTTGGGCACAGACCTGGATAGTATGATAGAGCTCTGCAGGCTCTCTCTACAGTAGATTGCAACTCCACCCCCTTTGGCAGTTCTATCTATACGGAAAATGTTATAGTTGGGGATGGAAATTTCAGAATTTTTGCAGTGAATAACTCTAACTTAGGAAGGAGGCTTCTGATATTTATGTGCAGAAAACCAAGGCTTTTACGGTTACAGAAGTCAACAAATGATAGCTCCTGGGGAGTAGGAGTGATACTGAACTAAACATTAGCCTCTTGGAACCTGCCTGATCTCGCTGCGTTCTGTTTTCAGGAAACAGAATGTTGCGCTATTGCACGATGATGCTGATCACAAGGCTGTCACAACATGCCCCTGGGGATGATGTAGCCCTTTAAATAGAACGCCAAATTCATGCATCCAAATGTAAATGTTTATTGTTAATATCATGAATTTGGCATACTATTTATAGGGCTAGGGATGATGAGGATGTTTTCTCAATGTCGTTTTCAAGTTGGACCATTCTGTACTGAACTGACACTAAAAGTGTATGGTCTAAAAGTATATGACACGTCAACATTACGTACCCTCTTCAACCTCCCTCTCTCCAGGGAGAACAGGAAGCAGAACTCTCTCGTGTCTCTGTGTCCTCATCCCATTGTTTACGATACAGTCCACGTATCCCCCTGAACCTGGCAACAGTTGGAGGGTGATGTTGCTAATGGCTGTGACAGTTTGGTCTTTGTTAACGACAGTCCAGTTGTTAGGCGTCTTTATGAGTGACGCTGCAGAAATGTTCCATTGGATCCAAGGTGCTGGTTTACCCGTGGCTGAGCAGCTGACCACAACTTCCATGTCTGCTTTAGGTTCAGTGCTGGGGACTTTTTGCATTGTGGCTCTCACTTCAGATACTCCTTAGAATAGATGAAACATTATTTTACCTTTATTTTACCAGGCAGATCAATTAAGAACAGATTTCAAAATATGTATCATGTTTTCATATGGTTTGACAGCAGTAAAGGTTCCTTATTAATGCATGCAGAGTTCATGGTCTTTCAGACAGTTTTGGGATTCAACCATTTTTGGGAAATCCTGCCAGTGATGTAACAATGCCAATATGGAGATTTATAGTTGCAGTTAGCTGGTGTTCTGAAGCCTAGTGTTTACATTCCCCTATTATACAACGGGTGGGTCTAATCCTGAATGCTGATTGGTTAAAAGCGCATTAAAATGCCTATTTATTCTGTTCCATCTGACTGCGCAATCCACCATCTCAAATTATAAACTTGATCTCCACTATAAAAAGCATCTAGAAATTCTCACATTTCTTTTAGACTAACATTTAGTTTAACAGCGGATATTTGTATAAACCTATTTGCAACATTGTTTCAATATTCAAATTCGATCTCCAGCTGTCCCATAGTAATGAACGTGTCGGGAGTCGGGATGAGACAGACAGGCAGGCAGCGTTTCTCAGCCAGTCGAAATCATGAATCAGCTGGCATAATTTTATGGATATATACAAAGAAATGTAAATTAATAAATTAGCTGTAGTTGGTTAGCTAGCCAGCAAAGGATAAGAACGTTGCCAGCCAGTATGGCAATAGAACATTTAGAATGAAGGACTGGGTCCCGTCCATAGATACAGAACAAAAAGACTGAACGACTGGGTCGCGTCTCTGGCAACCGAACCAATAGAACGAACGACCAGCCAGCTTGGGTAGCAACCCTAGATTTGTGTCGGGACTATATCTTGTGGAAGAATTATATAGTATGAATAAATTAATCAAAATAATGTTTTTAATGAAAATATGTCAATCATTATTTGAATATGTTGGTAATCCGATATATTGTCACAGTTTGCCGGCCCTCGACCCATGCCAATATATCCTCCATACACCGGCTTAGCGGGCATTATCACTTAAATAAATCCCAGAATAAACCCTTTACAAGGCCCATACTGTATTATTCAGAAATCATGCCTTAGCAAATGTCCTGCTGTAAAGGGTGACTAAAGGATTATGCTATATTTGGCAAAGCACCAGATGTAAGGACCTTTATATTACCTGTATTGGTATGGTTTTGCTTATAAATGTATCAGTGAAGCATCTATGTATTGCTTATGAATGCTCGAGAAGAGTGTTTACCAAAAAAGTTTATCTCCAAGGATACCCCCAGTGACTTCCACTTCTATTCCAGTACACCTGATTCAACTAGGTCTAATCAAGGACTGGATCATTAATTGACCAGGTGTGCTTGTACCTGTACTGACCTACTGTCAAAGTAGCTCTCAAAGTAATACTATTATTCTTTTGAGTTACAACATTTTCATGTAAGTAATATTGTAACTTTAACTGAATAGAGACATCTACAGGTAAGCCCTAAAACTGTTATTATTCAGTGCATTAAATACCTTGAACTGTAAGACACTTCTGCTTGCGTCTTGATCCACTCGGGTAAACGTTGAAGGAGCAAATATAGCAGGCTTCGTCCGCCCATGTTACATTCTTCACGGTAATAGACGTCGAGTCGAGAGATGCCTCAGTGAAAACCACCTTGCCTCGGTGCGGGTCTATGATTTGAGCTCCAAACCGCTTGCTGTAGGTGGCCAGATTCTCCACCGAGTCGTCTTTGAACAGTCTCTGCCAGGTAACTTGCAGCACACCTGTCGGGTCCGCATGGGTGCAGGTATATGATGCATCGCCATTGAAGTTAACAGTGGTGTCTCCTCTAGCTACGACGTTGACAGAGACGGCTACAAAAGAAAGGCAAGTTAAATACAATTTAAAATAAAAAATCTTAGCCTACATACAAAATAATCAATGACCTGTCAAACGTGGGAAATGTTGCTTACATAACCTATGTTATATTACATGAGCGGAATCAACCACTAGTCAGAAGCCATGGAAACTATTTACCTTCAGACAGCAAGCATAGGAGTATGAGAAAAGTATTCATTCTCAGCTGGTGAATGTTGACATAAGCTCATGGTGGATGTTTCTCTTGTTGGACCTTTTATAATATATTGTTTAGTTGCACGTGAGTCAGATTCAACGAAAGGGAAAGAATGCTTTTTTGGAAAGCCCTGACGTTGTTGAGGGGGTGGAGTTAGCCTAGTTCCCCAGTGGTTCCCGGCTGTAGCCAATTACAATGTGACATCTACTTTACAATAAATGAGAAGGAACAAGGAACTGTTGGTTGTAGTTTTTCAGTTGGCTCAAACTGAATGATTATGGAGGACTAAAAGTGCCACAATTAAATAAATAAATACACCATTAAATAATTACTTAAATGTGTCATTAATTAATTAAAATTAGAATTAAATACATAAATGTGTTATTAAATGTGTCATTAATTAATTCAAATACCGATTCATTTTATGTAAAATACATATATAATAATTTCACTATTTACATTTACATTTCATGGTCCTGCGTTGGAGTGCTTCCTGAATTACTTAAAACTGTCAAACTGACCCATCAAAAGTTGGTAGGCGGAACCTAACGCCTGATTGGTTACCCTCTGCATCAAGCCAAGACAAATCAATTCCGGATAATGTCAGCAGGTCCTGCTTCTACATCCTCTGCTAAGTTTAAAATGTCTCTAACCAACTCCCTGGAAAGTTCACGGAGATCCTCCATTGTCTCTATCCAGGTTGGCCTACTCTACTTCAGACCAAAGCAATGGATCAGACTAGATTCGCGTTAGCCCCGCCCACTGACTTTGATGGGTCAGTTTGACAGTTTTAAGTAATTCATGAATCACTGCAATGCAGGATCATGAAATGTAAATGTAAATAGTGAAATAATTATATATGTATTTTACATAAAATGAATCGGTATTTGAATTAATTAATGATACATTTAATAACACATTTATGTATTTAATTCTAATTTTAATTAATTAATGACACATTTAAGTAATTATTTAATGGTGTATTTATTTATTTAATTGTGGCACTTTTAGTCCTCCATAAATGATGTCATAGCTGCACACAAAAAAAACTGAAATGGGAAGTCAATTTATAGTTTGTTGGCATAAAATTTTTTGGTTCACAGGCTCTGTGCCGAAGTAAACTCCAATTTAGTGGCCACCACATCAAAGGCATCAACAGACTGCTACAACCACAGATAATTCCAAACCAATTGGCTGCTAATGCTGTAGGATTATTTTATGTATCATTATGACATGTAGGGAGACGCCAAAGGTAAAATGTAATAAACATGTTTGATATTGTATAATTAAGAAACATGTTTAAATAAGAAATGTAGACATTAAGTGTATGCTATGTTTTAAATGAATGCATGTGTTCTTTCACAGAGGCTGTCAACAGTGTGCATTGCATTAGTTCTTTTTTTAAGAAGGGGGCCTGCGCCACTCAGCCAATAGAATGATAGAATGAAAAGGCTTCATATAGAAAAAGCATTCATGACCTTTTGGAGTGGACATTATGTGACAGCTGGATGTTGAAAAAGAAGGGCGGTGCAGAACTAAAATAAGTTAGGAATGTGCGCATGTTTGTTTATTTATGTGTATAAAAGAGATCTCTAAGCCAGAGAGAGACAGTTTATCCATGGAGAAAAAACTCAGGCTTTTTGTTATGCAATAAAGAGTCTAAATTCTTGAATTCACAGGCTTCTGTGTCTATAGAGATATTTTGTTTGAGTTGATTATCTCTTAGTCAAATGTTTCTACGACATATTTGGCACCCCAGATGGGACCTGATAGGGATCAGAGACGGTGTACATCTGCGGTTGTGAAACGGCTTGGACGGACCATACAAACAAAAGCGGCCGCTTTTAAAAGGTAAGCCAAGTTCTTACTAATATAGTATAAACGTTTGTGTGGTCCGATCCGGGGCTCGGCAACATCTAAAGAAATACCAAGTAGGTCTCTCCAAATTTAAGAACCAGAAAGTTAGACACTAGGAGCTTTTGAATTTAAGAATACATGTCGCTGTTGTTTGTCAGAACCGTCTGTTCAATTGATTTGATTCATTTGATTCAGTTGATTCAGCTGATTCATCTTGCTGATTGCTCTGTCCGGGTCATTTCGACACGGGCGGCTGTCCAGCTGGTTGAGTGATCAGGAATAACATGTTAAGTCCTTCGAATACCGCTATGAACGTGTAGCGAAAGTATATCGTTTATAGGCTGCTTAGGAAGGCATAAATCCTGCGGATAAACGCTTTGGAAAGCTAAAATTCCAGAGGTCTGAACGGGCAGGTCATCATCCTGTGTGTGGTGATGCTAATAAATCCTGCGGATAAACGCTTTGGAAAGAAAATTCCAGAGGTCTGAACGGGCAGGTCATCATCCTGTGTGTGGTGATGTTAATAAATCCTGCGGATAAACGCTTTGGAAAGCTAAAATTCCAGAGGTCTGAACGGGCAGGTCATCATCCTGTGTGTGGTGATGCTAATAAATCCTGCGGATAAACGCTTTGGAAAGCTAAAATTCCAGAGGGTCTGAACGGGCAGGTCATCATCCTGTGTGTGGTGATGTTAATAAATCCTGCGGATAAACGCTTTGGAAAGCTAAAATTCCAGAGGTCTGAACGGGCAGGTCATCATCCTGTGTGTGGTGATGTTAATAAATCCTGCGGATAAACGCTTTGGAAAGCTAAAATTCCAGAGGTCTGAACGGGCAGGTCATCATCCTGTGTGTGGTGATGCTAATAAATCCTGCGGATAAACGCTTTGGAAAGCTAAAATTCCAGAGGTCTGAACGGGCAGGTCATCATCCTGTGTGTGGTGATGCCAATAAATCCTGTGGATAAACGCTTTGGAAAGCTAAAATTCCAGAGGACTGAACGGGCAGGTCATCATCCTGTGTGTGGTGATGCCAAACTTAGGTCTTGAGAAAGCTTAAGACCTAGGGGGCTAATAAATATAAATCCTGTGAATAGACGCTTTGGAAAGCTAAAATTCCAGAGGACTGAACGGGCAGGTCATCATCCTGTGTGTGGTGATGCCAAACTTAGGTCTTGAGAAAGCTTGAGACCTAGGGGGCTAATAAATATAAATCCTGTGAATAGACGCTTTGGAAAGCTAAAATTCCAGAGGACTGAACGGGCAGGTCATCATCCTGTGTGTGGTGATGCCAAACTTAGGTCTTGAGAAAGCTTGAGACCTAGGGGGCTAATAAATATAAATCATGTGAATAGACGCTTTGGAAAGCTAAAATTCCAGAGGACTGAACGGGCAGGTCATCATCCTGTGTGTGGTGATGCCAAACTTAGGTCTTGAGAAAGCTTGAGACCTAGGGGGCTAATAAATATAAATCCTGTGAATAGACGCTTTGGGAAGCTAAAATTCCAGAGGACTGAACGGGCAGGTCATCATCCTGTGTGTGGTGATGCCAAACTTAGGTCTTGAGAAAGCTTAAGACCTAGGGGGCTAATAAATATAAATCCTGTGAATAGACGCTTTGGAAAGCTAAAATTCCAGAGGACTGAACGGGCAGGTCATCATCCTGTGTGTGGTGATGCCAAACTTAGGTCTTGAGAAAGCTTGAGACCTAGGGGGCTAATAAAATTATAGGTGTTGACTTGCTCAAACACGTAGACAGACGTGGAAATGGGAGAGAGTACATAGGACATGTGGTAGAATTAAGCAATATAATAAACTATCTATTATTTCAGAAGCATATATATAATTCATTTGGTTAGGTTGTTAGATCTGTTTCCAAATCAATGAATGTGGGGTTTGACTTGTTGACTGCTAAGTTGAGTACGTTGAGCGTGTGAGATCTGTGTCCTTCAAAGCTATTTTCTGATAAAGTGTGGTATGTGTTAGATACTAAAATTACTGACCATTATCATTGGAATAACAGAGGATTAACTTGTCATTTCGATAAAGCATAGATTCTGCATCGCTGAACAGAGTCTAGGGTTTCTAAGTATAGTTTAGCTATAGTTGTGGGGTGTTTAGATTGAAGGAACAGTCAGGATAAGATTGGAAGATCTAGTAGCCTGCGTCTTTTCAGACTGAAGGACTCACTTATTCAACGGGAAAGGAGGAGTGTCTATAGTCTAAATCAGAAAGGACAGTTACATTTGAATAGCGGACTGGCAATTTGGATAAGAGATTTGGCCATAATTTGAATTGTTTAGGTAGACTGGAATGAAAGTAAGGTAGTTTAATATATGAATATACATATATTATTAGTTATTGTTGGGATGTGAATAGACTTTACTAATGCCATGAATTAGTTTCCGGTTAAAAGAGAGTCATACTTGTTTGACTGTATCGAGCTGAAATAGTTATTTAAAGAAAGTTTGAATAGCTGGATGGAAAACATTTATTTGACAAAATTCTAATTGTTATTACTTTATTCTATGGTTTGCGTGACATCAGTAATGTATGCGAATATTTGGTGAATTTTAGAATGATAATGTATTTTTATTACGTGAATTAGGGGATGCAAGGAGCGTTGGCTTTTTTGCTGAGGGAATAGCATCAATTTATAGTGGGTTCTGGATTTGTTGAATAAACAAACTTATATTTTAAACTAAAGTAATGCAATAGGCTACAATTATAACATTATCAGAAAAAGGCACTATATGCTCATCTGTGGTCCGCTGTAGCTCAGTTGGTAGAGCACGGTGCTTGCAACGCCAGGGTTGGGTGTTCGATTCCCAAGGGGGGCTAGTATAAGTATAGAAAGGTATGAGCTCATGAATGGAGTGTTGTTTGGAAAAAGAGCATCTGCTAAAATGATAATGGGTATGGAGAGGAGAGTACGTGGTAGTCATTGAATAAGGTTTTGTTAGATTAAACAAATGACAATGGTGGAAGGTGTAGTTAACTTAATAAAATGGGTTATTATCTAGTGTCTTCTAAGTGGGAGTTTTCTTTTAAGGATTGATGGGAGTCTCCTATATTATTAGGTTAGGGGTAAAGTAGGGCGACGTATCAAACAATTTTAAATGGATGCTGGGGTTAATGATTGTTGATG